AGTTTGCTTTATTTATGTTAAGGACAAGAAAAAAGGCAGCTGAATTAACCCTGGAGAGGGATCTCTAAGGTGAAAAACAAATGGATGGTTCGCATAAGTCGGTAGCTTTTTGTGGGACTGGTTGAAACACAACAGCTCTTGTTCTACCATAGCAGAGAAAGGAAGCTGTCTCAAAGGTAGAGGTCTAATGGGAGATTCTGACGTACGGTAATCAAGGCCTATTCCAATCCAGTTTTTTTTTTTTTTGACTTATTAGTTTTCAGAACTATCTCAGAAATGTGGGAACTACAAAACAAATGCAAACCATGTCCCTTTGTTTTGCTGTAACTAGCAGACTTTGGGGGACTGGGTCTGTCTCAGTACTTCGCTGTTATTTGTTATGTCTCCTCTGGTCCCTGTTGGCCACCTTGGTGTCCTGTCTCCTCTATCATGTTTCACTCTCTCAGTCATCAGTTGTATAGGCAGTCCACAACTTTTTGGACTTGGATTTTGTTGCTCTGCTTATTCAACATTTCTAATAAACATTTAAAATTATTTCTGCTTTATGCTACATTTTCTGGCTAGCACATCAAACATATTGAAAAAAGAAAGCAACAGTATATTTTGGTGTAGAAATAAAGGAACTTCACAATTATTAAGCACTTCTATGTATCAAGTACTTCTTTTGCCATCAGCCCTACAAAGCAGATGCTACTATTCCCTCATGTCAGATGAGGAAACTGAAGCTCAGAGATGGTAAATAACTGACCCACAATCATGTAGGTGGGCAGTGATACAGCTGTCATATAAACCTAAACCTGTCTGATCCCCCAAACCTACGTTTTTTTCCTACTATATAACACTGCTTCCTAAGCCCACTTCACAATGCAATTTTCAGAAATAAATTCCACAGCAAAAATTATGGTAACCCTTAACTTCCCTCCTTCAGTTTCTTCCATCAGTCCATCCGCCCTCTGACTCATTTTTTTAAAAAAAGAAGAAGAAATTAGGAAAGAAAATGAAAAAGAAATATGTAACATGTGTTTGTGGAATGGTTCTAGAATATTTAAAAGGATCTGAAGCTATTATATTAGGTTTTGTTTCCTTTTGGTCTTAAAACACAATTTTTTTTTTTAAAGCTACCAGGGCATTAAATTATAAGAAATTCCTCCAAGGGATAGTTTAAAACTTCATGCAAATGATTTATTGAAAATATTAAAAAAGGTAAGTTCCAAATGCCACCTGAAATACTTGTTCCATTAGGAAAAATAACAACAACAAAACAAAAAATAACACCTATCAGTTTGTAGAACTGATGGAGCCAATCCTATCTATTATTCAGTTATTATTTTACTCACATAGTAAAACCCTTCCAAAGAAGCAACTAACCATGTATCATATCCTATGGAGTCAAGTTATCACCACTTAAGCACTTAAGGAAAGTTAGGCAACATTTTATGAGTATCACATACTTTTAAAAGTAAAGCAATAGGTAGAAAGAAAGCTATTTTTCTGATGGGGCATCTGTAACTTGGTATTTTTGTACTCTATCATAATCTTTTTTAAAAAAAGTCTTAAATTTTGTGTCTTAAAGTAGATGACTTAAAAAAAAAAGGGGAGAGAGCTGCAGCCCTTCAGTATCTTCTAAGAATTTAGTGGTTGCAATCATTATAGTCTAGTAATATAGACCAGCTGGGTTCCAACCTTGGTTCAGTTCTTACAGGTTCTGTGACTCTGGGCATGGCACTCTGATGTACTTTACTCATCTGAAAAATGGGGATAATAATTCCTAAGGTTGTTGTGAGGATTAAATGAGTTAATATGTTAGCCACTTAGCATATTCTTGAAAGCAATGCTCTATTTTTTTTCTAACAATCTACATAACTGGGACGATAATAAGATAAAACAGTTAACTTTAACTGATGTGGGCAAATGGATATTTTTAAAGAAAAGGTGCCGTAAGATAACATACAATCAGTAAAAATTTGTATATATTTTACTGAGGATGTCATGAAAGAAATTTCAGTGCAGTAAGAATGTCTGAAATATAATTCCTGATATATTTGCTATCTGAGGACATATACTAAATAAAAAATAAAAAAATAAAATTTTCATCTCATAATATGTCTCATAAAATGTAAAAGAATGGAAAAAGTTCAATAAACCACTTGACTATAAAATCTATTCCAACTGGAAAAGGGTATCCAAGATGGTTGCTTGGGTAAACTGCAAGAGTTTACTCTCCCCTACCCACAAATCACAGAAGGCTTCAGGAAGTTAGAATGGAAGTCTTCTCCTTATGGAATGTATTTTCAACTGCATGTGGGTTGTTATAACTGAGTTTCCCAAAAGGACATAGTAGAGGGCTTCCCTGGTGGCGCAGTGGTTGGGGGTCCGCCTGCTGATGCAGGGGACGTGGGTTCGTGCCCCGGTCCGAGAGGATCCCGCGTGCCGCGGAGCGGCTGGGCCCGTGAACCGTGGCCGCTGAGCCTGTGCTCCTCCAGCATTTCTCCGATAGTTTTACCTAACCTTTTGGTCCTCTTAAGGATGTCCTTATTTCCAAGTACACTAGCTGATCGTAGAATGATTTATCCTTACAATAACCTGACAGAGGAAAAAGACAAAGAAAGGAGGTGAGACACTAGGTAGAAGAACGCTCTGATATGATATGCCACTGGTTTCCAGACAGATGTGAGAATTGGTCAGTGGTCCGTAAGAATCTTACTAGTGCTACGCATGTGGCAGTGCAGCCCATGCTACTCATCTCTCTCTTGACTTCATGGGAGAAGAGCACTAAGAAATCCTTGTCCAGCCCCAAGCTTTGCTTTTCAGAAGGAAACTCGGTGACCCTCAAGGGAGAGACAGATCAGAAGTCACTGGGCAGTCAAGGAAGAAGAGTGAAGATGATTTCAAAATTGAATAATCTTTGCATTGATAAGTACATTAGAGATAATTTAGTTCAACCCTCTGTGTAGTGCAGGATTCGCCTTCACAGCATCTCTGAGAGATGATTCCTCAGGCTCTGCCTAAACACCTCCAATAACTGGGATCTTCCCTCCTCAAATCTGCTAGCCCCAAGCCAGAAATCTGGGATATATTATAGATTCTTTTTTTTTTAAACATCTTTATTGGAGTATAATTGCTTTACAATGCTGCGTTACTTTCTGCTTTATAACAAAGTAAATCAGTTATACATATACATATGTTCGCGTATCTCTTCCCTCTTGCGTCTCCCTCCCCCCCCACCCTCCCTATTATTATAGATTTACATCATTCATATCCAATTAACCAATGAGGTATTTTACCTGTCAAATCTCTCTTAAATCTGTTCACTGTTCCCCTTCCCCACTATCTCAGTTGAGGCCTTTCTTTCTCATCCCCTTATGTGGTTCTGCAATAGTATCCAACTACCAGATTTCCTGCTACCAAATAATTTGCCTCTAATTCATCCTCACGTGGCAGCCTGCAGTGGACATTCTAAAACACAAATCTCTTTTTAGATTTTCTTTTTTTTGATGTGGACCATTATCGAATTTATTACGATATTGCTTCTGTTTTATGTTTTGGTTTTTTGGTTGCAAGCCATATGGGATCTTAGGTCCCTGACCAGGATCGAACTTACACCCCCTGCATTGGAAGGTGAAGTCTTTTTTTTTTTTTTTTTTTAATAAATTTATTTATTTATTTATTTATGGCTGCATTGGGTCTTGGTTGCTGCTCACAGACTTTCTCTAGTTGCAGTGAGCGGGGGCTACTCTTAGTTGTGGTGCCTGGGCTTCTCATTGAGGTGGCTTCTCTTGTTGAGGAGCACGGGCTCTAGACGTGCAGGCTTCAGCAGTTGTGGCTCGTGGGCTCTAGAGCACAGGCTCAGTAGTTGTGGCGCACAGGCTTAGTTGTTCTGCGGCATGTGGGATCTTCCCGGAACAGGCCTTGAACCCATGTCCCCTGCATTGGCAGGTGGATTCTTAACCACTGTGCCACCAGGGAGGTCCTGGAAGGCGAAGTCTTAACCACTGGACTTCCAGGGAAGTCCCTAAAACACAAATCTAATCATATCATTCCTCTGCTTAAAACCCTTTACCCTTTAGTGGTTCACTACCACAAACAGCAAAAAAAATCCAAGGTTTTAGCCTGAAATGCATGATCTTGTCTAACTCTCCAGGGCACACCTCAGCAACACTAAATGGTTGTGTTATCCACACGTACCAAGCCGTTTCGCATCTCCATACTTTTTGCTCATGTGTTGCCTCTTCTTTGCTCATGTTGTTACTCTTCTTTCCCTCTGTCAACCAGCTAAATAAGTTCAGAAATTATCTCCAGGAAGGCATCTTTCGTTCTTTTTTAAAAAAATTTAATTTTATTTAATTAATTATTTTTGTGTGTGTGTGGCTGCATCGTGCAGCATGCGGGATCTTAGTTCCCTGACCAGGGATCGAACCCACACCCCCTGCAGTGGCAGCGCAGAGTCTTAACCACTGGACTGCCAGGGAAGTCGCCTGGAAGGCATCTTTTGACACCCTTCCCTGTGTAATATAAAAATATTCTGTGTGGGGAATTCCCTGGCAGTCCATTGGTTGGGACTCTGTGCTTTCACTGCTGCGGGCCCAGGTTCAGTCCCAGGTCGGGGAAGTAGGATCCCGCTAGCTGCGTTGCACGGCCAAAAAAACAAAACAAAAAAATTCCGTGTGTATTCTCTATCACTGCACTCATCATATTATACTGAAATCATTAACTAGCTCATCTCTTTCCC